TTAAAAAACACGTAGTTCGAGAGATTTCTGTATAAGAATCACCAGGGTAAGTTACTCAACTTAAAGTATAGAATATTACATGAACTTAATAGTGACATCACAATGAAATTATGCTAAGAAATACTTATCAGATAACGAAAAATTCCTCATCATAGTTAAAATTATGTTTACTTTGGAATACAGACTGTTTCAACGAAAAATATCATTTTTATGATTAATTTCTTTAAACACAGACTGTTTCAACGAAAAATATCATTTTTATGATTAATTTCCTTAAACACAGACTGTGTTTTAACTGAAAATATCATTTTGAGGTTAATTTCCTTGAATACAGACTGTGTTTCAACTAAAAATAAACAAATTATGTGTTAAGAATAATTTCTTTAAATAAACTGTGTATAAACTAAAAAGGATTATTTTAAAGTTAATTTCCTTAAATACAGACTCTGTTTTAAGTAAAAAGATTATTTTGAAGGTTAATTTCCTTAAATACAGACTGTATTTCAACTAAAAAATAGAATTTTCAAGGTTAATGTTCTTAAATACAGATTGTGTTTGAAATAAAAGAGCTATTTTTAATGCTAATTTCCTTAAATGAAATAGGCGTAATTTATTAATTAGCACTATGAATTTCGTTATAGATTCGTTCTACTAAATAGGAAGTACAATCTTGAAAAAAATAGCTTCTTCTTTTTTCTTATTTACGCAGGAATTAACTTAGGTTAAAAAGTTTTGAGGTAACAAATATCCTTAATCATTCATAAACATTGAAATTAATTTACAGTTAATTAGTAAGACCAAATTCGCTTAAATTCGCTTTACTGTAAGAGTTGTAGTGTCATTTAAGTTTCTTTTTTTTCACTAGTTTCAAACAGCGCATAAATCCGTTAAGGTTTTCAACTATTTTATACCGTCCTTAAGATGCCTTCATTTAGAAAACTACAAAACACTATTTGTTGTAATCCATGTTGTGACGAATTTATTATTCTATATTTGTTTTGATATCGATGTTTATTTAAATTTAATCTATATTTAGAAATGTATATAAATTATACTGTTAAATATGTATTGCGAAACTCCCGCCTATTCTTTAAAGTTGTAAAAGATTCTCGAGTGTAAGAATCAACAATATATGTGTGTAAGTAAACGCTAATGTAGCTTTG